GACCAGGGGTGCAGGCTTGTAGTGTATACCCTTTTGTTGGTTGATGATGCATGGAGGGGATTGTAACCATGGCAATGAAAAGATATAGGATAGGATGACTGTAAAGCTAATGTTCTCCCATGTAAACTATCACATAATTCACTATAAAACATTTTTAAAAAGAAAGAAAAAAAACCCTGCTTGTTAAGTTAGAAAGAAAATGAATTTCAAGTCAACAGTATAAAATACTATTGCAGCTTTTGGATGACTTAGTATAAATGATGTATAAGTCAATATAAATAATGAGTTAAAAAATATTTTCGACTAATCACTTGTTTTTAGCTAAGCTCCTAATTCACAAACCATGATTTCCCAGCACGCAATGTAAGGCATTTTATTATTTTATTGCAGATTGGACTTGATTACTGGAAACCATTTACTTTTTCCCTCAAATGTCCTTGGGAGTGAGGGTGGGGAAAACTAGTATGTTTGGTGGAACAGGAATTTGGTAAGAGGAACCCTGTTGGCCTGGTGAGTTAGGTGTTAGACTGCTAAATGTAAGGTTGATGGCTCAAACCCAGCCGCTTCTCTGAGGGAGAATGGTGAGGCAGTGTGCCCTATAAAGAGTTAGTCTTAGAAACGATATAAAGGTTGCTGTGAGTTGGAACTGACTCAGTGGCAGTTGGTTTTGGTTAAGTTGCTTCCAGAATTTTCTAAAATGCAGGAAATGACTAAAGGCATAATATTTAATATTTAACGGGACCCATCATTTTTTGGGGGGGGTTGGGTAGGGATGGGGAAAGCAAGGCATCCCATCATTTTAATTACTGAAGCTATCTTATTTAATCAAGAAAGTGCTGCTAATCACCAAATAAGAACTCTACTGTTTATTCTAAGGCTCTTTGCTAGAAGCCATAGAAATCAAAGTCCTGACTCCCTTTCACATGGTGTTTACAGTCCAGATGGGGATGTGACACCCCTCCTGAGAAATGGTTAAGCTGATTCCATTCATGGGGATCCCATGTGCACACAGTACTGCTCCAGAGGTTGTCATTGCTGGAACTTCAGAAGCAGACCGCCAGCCTGTCTTCTGAGGAGCCTCGGGTTGATTTCCACTGCCAACCTTTCTGTTAAGTCTCAAATATTTTCCCGTTTCCACCACGCATGGACTTCTGAAAAATGACTGAGCCTTTTCTCATTAAGTCAGTGTTCTTTGTAACACTAATTTTATTCCTTCTCAAACTCTACAAATTTACTTGAAATGTACAAATATACAAATTTATAAATAAATCTTTTCAGGAAGTCTAAACCAGTCGCTCCTCAGAAGCCCTATTCAGTAGTCGCTCTAAGTCAGAACTGACTTAAAGGAGTTCTGGTATAACGCTGAAGGACAAGAACTGAACATGCGGTTAGCAGTTCAAACTCACCAGCTGCTTCTTGGAAGCCCTACACAGGAACGCTGGTGAGTCAACCTACTTGAATGCACTTACCAACAAAAGGAGTCCTGGTGTGGTGTTGTGGGTTAATGTGCCAGACTGCAAGGCCATTTGAACTGCAAGGTTGGTGGTTCAAGCTCACCAACTGCTCCTTGGAAACCCTATACGGGGTTGCTATGGGTCAGAACTGACTCGACGGCACTTAACAACAACATACTGCTAACTGGAGTCCTAATGTAGCGCTGCACGATAATGCCCTGGACTGCAAGGTCTGTTTGAACCATAAGCCGGCAGTTCAAACCCACCAGCCGCCCCTCAGAAACCCCCATACAGGACCTCTGTGGGTCAGAACCAACTCGAAGGCACTTAGCAACAACAATAACATACAGCTAACTACAAAGTTGGTGGTTCAAACCCACCAGTCATTCCTTGGAACCCTAATGGGTCACTCACTATGAATCATAACTGATTCAACAGCATTTAGCAACAGTAGATTAATTGGAGTCCTGGGTATGGTGCTGTTTGGTGGATAAGCACTAGGCTACTAACTGCAAGGTCGGTGGTTTAAACAGACTAGTCTCTCCTCCGAAACCCTATACACGGTCCCTATGAGTCAGATTTACTTTGATGGCATTTAACAACAAAATAGGAGCCTGTGGCTGAGGTTAGTGTTTACAATCCATAATAAAAAGGTTTGGAGGATTTCCTTGTCATTATTTTTGGGGACCTGTGAGAGATTCCAAATACAAAGATAACTTAGGGTCCTGCTTTTCCTATTTATGAACAAGACTTGCTGCCTAAATGCATGCAGTATTGTTGACCACCATGCCCACTCTTTACATTAAATGTATAGTTGATTCATCCAATGGTTTACCCAATTTATAAACTGTAATCCAAACCAATACCATGTATATTACTTTGTTTCCATGTCAATTAGCTTTAATAGTTGTTGTTGTTAAGTGCCATCAAGTCGACTCCATCCCATAGCGACCCTGTATAGAATTTCCGAGGAGCAGCTGGTGAGCTTGAACCCCAACCTTGCAGTTCAAACGGCTCTGCAATCTGGCGCATTAACCCACAGCACCACACCAGGACTCCAGCTTTGATAGCTGTTGTTGTTGTTAAGTCCTGTCAAGTAGATTCCAACCCATAGCGACCCTGTATAGGGTTTCCAAGGAGCAACTGGTAAGCTTGAACCATCGACCTTGCAATTCAAAAGACTTTGCAGTCTGGTGCATTAGCCCACAGTGCCACACCAGGACTCCAGCTTTTATAGTAGGAAGCCTTTATTGCTCAATTTGTTTTAAGTTGATTAAAAAGAAATCACTTATTTGGGGGGATTTCACTTAAACCCTATACAGGTTCACTGAGTCAGAACTGACTTGACAACACTTAACAACAAAACAACACATATCTTTGGGCATGTAAAGTCCAGAGATGAGGCTGTAACACCATACCTGAAATGGCAAACATTTTTGAACCCTTCACCAATTAATAAATCTCTTTAGTGTTGATTTCATTCCTTCTCATACTCCAAAATTGTCCCAATCATTTTTGATTACTTGTAAGGAATTAGTCTCCAGTAGTTGGCTTAATAAGGAAAACAAAATATGGTGGAACTGTATATCTGCTTATTTAAAAGCTAAATGTTGTTTCAACTTAATCTTCAAGAAATATCAGTGAAACGTGTCTATATATTTCCAAGTTGACAGAGAAAACTTGGAAATTAAATACTGCACTGTGATCAGCTTGACTTGTTTAATGAGGACAGAACATTTGCCTAAGGGTAGGATCAGATTTAAAGCATTCTACATATTTATTCACGGAAGTCCTCTACAGCATCATCCCCCAAATAAACCCTTGGCATCCCAAAACAAAACTAGCAGTGTACTTTGCATGAAAAACAAACCCATGTTTTAATTTTATTTTTCAAAATCTATATTTTAATGTGTAAACAGCTTAAAAAAATACAGCGCACTCATGCCCATATACTCTACTAAGGGGGGGGGGCGGGACAACAAAAATAATCTATTTCATGCACACACAATGCACTAAGCGCCAAGTGTTTACACAAAAGGAAATTCGCTCTGCTTTGAGCATACACATACAAAAATGGATTGTAACTTTACCTGAACAGGACAAACTTACGAAGTTTAAGAAAGTGATTATTTCTCTGAGGACTAAAACGCCGGTATAGCCTAATCTTTTTAAGATTGTCTTCCCTCAAAGTAATCCAGAAAAGGGGAAGGAGACATTATTTTCATAGCAATCAAGATCCATTAATGAAATTTACAAAATTCAAATAAAGGAGGAAAAAAGAAAGGTAATCAAATCGTTGCGTCCCTAGGACTATCGACAGGAATGAAAGTAACCAGGAAAGTTGCTAATTGTATTCTAAGCCTGCATCCAAGCTACTGAAAGCGCTGCCGCCTACTTCAGGAGGGCTGCGGCTCCGGGCCGGGCACCCGTCACCAGGCACCGGGCACCTAGTCCTGGCGGAACTGTGCCCTTGGGCCGGCGCCCTAATTGGCCATCTGGAAGGGCTCCGACTGGAATCCGAAGAGCCTCTGGCCGTAGGGCTCGCTCTCGCCCGGCAGCTTTGTGCCGGCGAACGCGAGGTAGTGCTCGCTGCCAAAGTGCTCACAGTGGATATTGAGCCAGTCTCGCTCCGAGCCGAATCGCTCGGCCTCCGCCAGGATCCGGGTCAGAGCCATGATGTAGCTTAGCGCCATCTGCAGGGTCTCGTACTTGGACAGCTTTTTATCCTGACCCCACTGAGGTACCACCCGGCGCAGGCGGTCGAAAGCCGTGTTGAGCCCTTGCATCCGGCGCCGCTCGCGCGCATTGGCTGCCAGGCGTCTGCGCGCCGCGCTCTCTAGCCGCTCGGGCCCGGCGCCCGTGCCCACGGACTCGGCACCGTCTGCGCACGGGGGCGCGACGCGCGCACCTGGCGCCTGGCTGCTGGGCTTGTAGGATTTCATAGCGGTTGTACGCGGCGGCTTTGAGGCCACCAAAGGGTAGCCTGGAGCTCACAGGCCCGCTAAGACGTGTGTGTGGGCTTATCTGCAGAACCGCTTCCTAGCGTGGCACTTCTGTAGCAACAAAAAGTTATAAATAAAGCAACTCACTTGGAATCAAATAGTTTACAGTGGGGAGGAGTACAAGGCTGGACCTTCAATCTTACTGAATAACCAAGTTGGTATCTTTTCAATTGCCCAGATTTAGGGGTAATTGAGGTGCTGAAGAGAACGTCATTGTCCCAACATGAAGTTAAAAACGAGAAGGGAATGTTCCATAAAGTCTGATCTCGCTTGTTTGGGGATGGCCTTCCACGTCCTCCAGGAAAGCGCTGCCCTCTCTTTGGAGAAGATGCACTCCTCCCGAAAGAAGCTCCGAAGCTCCGATGGGGAAAGCGCTTTTTCCACAATAGCTGTCGGAGAGTGCTGGACCAACCTTTGAGGAGAATTTATAGCCCAGGGCTGAAGGAGGGAACAGGTGGTGGCAGGTGGGCGGGCGTCCCTGCCTCTATCTCGGCACCTTCCTACCCTGGGAACTGAGGGGGGAAGGGGAGCGACGCACAGCAAAATCCTGACATTACAGCCCTGGTCTGTTGACGTTTCTCTAAAGCTGTGTCTGCCCAGCACTAACCGGCGCACCATCTGGAGTGATCTGACTGTCCCCAAAAGAATAGCGGGGGGTGGGGGTGGGGGGATGAGGAGAAAGTTTCATCTCTAGTCAATCTTTTCCCATATTAGAGGACTTAGGTCAAGGTTTTAAAAATGCTAGGCATCTTTTGTGTGAAGATGTTGCTCTTGGAATTATGAGACGTATAAAACCTTTAGTATAAGAGAATTTATCTTTAGAGACCACCAGCAGCTCTGTAGGAGAAAGAGGACGCTTTCTGCTCCCGCAAAGATTGAGTCTCGGAAACTCTATACAGGGTCTCGATGAGTCTAACCCGAATGGCAATTTTGCATGCTGTTGATCTAATAAATTGATGTTGATTTTAGCTCTTAAGTACATTGGGACACATTACCAGGTTCAATAATTATTGCAGATCTGAAATTTACTGTGCAAATATTTTTACTGTGTTGTATGGAATAATTTATTATAGTGTATGAAATCATATTAATGTGTATTATACAGTTGAATTGCATAAATCAGGTACTGAGAAATTAATTAGTTTTATCCTCCGTTTCCCCTGACACAGGTTAGTAAAGTTTGCAGGACATACATTGTAGTGATAATAATTCACTTATTTGATTTGACATTTAAGCCTAATAAATTATAATGTACATACATATATACAAAATGCAAACATCAAATTTATTTGTGAGATTTTTTTTTTTAATGCCTAACGGAAGAGTTTCACTACTTCATAAAGCTGTAAATATCTTATAACTACTTGATGTTTCAGTTGTGTCAACTGTGCTCAGGAACAATAATAGTACAGCATGGGTCCCCCTGTTGATAATGAGGATCACATTTATATAGAGCAACTTGATTTCTTTCATCTCAGCTTGTTTCTAACTTTTAATGAGTGACAAGACAAAGACATCGGGCTTCAATTAAGTTGGTATGTTTTCTGGATCTTCAGAAAGAACAAGTCTGCTCTTTTTCCTTTTGAAACACAGATTATACCATCATTATTCACAGATATTTTTGTTTATAAAATTATCAAGTTCTCACAAGTGGGGAAATCTTTTCACCGTGACTTGTTTGTCTCACCCGCTGCTTTGTGACAACTCTGACTCCAAGTACTGTCTTTCCATTAATCCTTAGCTGAGGCAATGACAGTGAAATGAAGTTGAATAACATGAAGACAATAGGCTACAATTGAACATTAATGAACTCCAGCATGACAGATGTTGAACACAGAGTTTCCTGCATGAAGTCACTCAGCTCTGTTCCTCTGCATCCTAACAGCTTTGGTCAAGAACAGCAGTTCTGTGAGAAAACAAAAACAGAACCAAAACCATGCTATTTAGTCAGCAAAATGTCAGCTACATTTGAGTTTTCATGTCCTACTGATGTTATTGTTGCTTATGTTCATTGATTTCATATCTTTTGCCAAGGAGCCCACTCTGTGCTCCTCTTTGGAATGGTTTTCTTTTTCAAAACGAACTGTGCCCTTGTTCTGGACACTAGTGTCCAAAGTGTTAATGAATTGTATGTCCTTGCAGGCCCTGTATCCAGTGTTGATGAGATTATAACCAACAGCGTCAAAAGCATAACTTGAAGAAAAGACAGAAACATAATATTATGCATACAACATAACTATTTTAGAACATAAACCATAGAAGATATCTATGAAGTGAAAATAATCTAACAACAGATTATGTTGCAATAAAGGACCTTCAATGTAATATGGAAAACATTTTCCAAATCTATCTTAAGGAGCATAAGTTCTACAAAAATGCTTCTGGGGAAAAGAGTTCCACTGTCAAATAAATTTGGGAAATACATCTGTTATCTCCCTATCGGAGAGACAGGAAGCAAAAGTGGTACAGTAAAGATTCTGAGAAATCCTGGAGCAAAGAAATCTACTTAATCCAATATTTCCTAGATCTTTCTGAACATATAACCTTTTTTCTTAAGTATTAACAAAACTTCCTAGAACACACTTTTCAAACCTGCTCTAGTACTTACTTTCTAGAGGAGGAAACTGAGGTCCAGAGACTAAACACTCAGCCAGTTAATAATGGAATTAATACAAGAAGTCAAATCTCCCAAGTCCCTTGATTTTAGAAACTTAAAAATTATTAAACCACTTACTATGAGCCCCTCATTTTACAAGATGATAACTAAGATCCACCAAAGACTTCCCAAAGTCAGACATATTACTCATAACCACTGCAGGAAGAGAGCTAGAAATTGTGTATTAAAAGGACAGTGTCACTTATTTTATAGCCGCAGTGTCCTGAAAATTATGATTATGCAAGAATTGGCCCTTACTGAGTGGTTGGTAAATAAATTAGATAAATGATAGTTAGAGAGCTGTTGATTAGAATAAGTACCTTCCTAGGGAGTAAACCATACAAATGATTTACGTTCAAAGATGAGGCTTTCTGCTCCCATAATGATTTATAGCCTTGGAAACCCTGTGCAGGGTCGCTATGAGTCAGAACAGACTCCATGGCACATAACAACAACAACTACGTTGTGGAGAACAGAATTTAGTTCTACATTTTGAATGCAGAATGAATTCTTCCTTATCAACAATTGGATCCATAACCATTTTGGCCAGAACATGCATGTCAAACTAATTGCCACTGTATTTCTTTACTGAGGGAGTGAGTGATCCTAACAAGAGAACTGGTAGTTACTGTGTCTGGTGGTTGATTAGAAATCAAAACTGGGAGATGCAGGGGGTGTGGGGGAAAGGAAGAAGGACCTTATACATGTAGTGGGGAAAGGGAAACAGTATTTTAGAGGAAACAAGTCAGTGGCTGGAAATTGTTACAAAATATGTAGAATCCGTTTAAGGGTAAACATGCCTTTGTTATCTAAAACCATATTTAATTTTTTTTAATGGAAAATCTTAAAAGACACAAAAGGAAGAAAGGAAAATACTTGGCGAAAAAACATTCATTCTGAAATTTGCATAGAGAAGGAAAATGAAAGAACTGGGCTTCAGTATGGAAGCACAGTCCATACTGAAGCCCTCTCTTTGTTCTTCATCTCTAAGTATTTCAAGTCCTTTTTGCTTCCAGCAAGCAAGGTTGTGTCATCTGCATAATGCATGTTGTTAATGATTCTTCCTCCAATTCTGATACTGCAGTCTTCATCATATAATTCATATACTCAGATTATTTGTTCAGCTAACAGATTGAAAAAGATACAACCCTGATGCCTACCTTTCCTAATTTTAAACTATTCAGTATCGCCTTGTTCTGTTTGATCAACTGCCTCTTGGTTAGCTAGATAAGCTGTCTTCCAAGTTTCTGGCATAGATGAGTGAGCTCCTCAGCATTGCATCTGTTGAAACATTTCAGTTGTATTCTATCCGTTCCTGGAGCCTTGTTTTTTTTTGCCAGTGCCTTCAGTGCAGTTTGGGCTTCTTCCTTCAGTACTTCAGTTCTTGATCATATGCTACCTCCTGTAATGACTGAACATTAGCCAATTCTTGTTGGCACAATTCTTTCATGTAGATACATCTACTTTGTTTTTCTTTGTAATTGTATTTCCTGTGTTTGCATTCCTAATAAACAAAACATTATGTTTTCAAATTTTACATAGATTAAATAATTCTGTATTTTATTTTTTTTTTTGTATTTTGCTTCTTTGCTCCATAGTATTTGTGACATTCATCTGTATTTTTGTGTATGGTAATAACTTGTTCATTTGTATTGTTAGAAACCATTCCATTGAAAGAACATACACTATCATTTTTATTCATTTGTTTCATGTTTTACTTATTACACCCAAAAATGCTATTGTCAACATTTTTATTCATATATCACAGTACATTTATGCAACATGTTTTTTTAGGTTACATACCTGATAGGTTTGTTGGTGTGATCATTACAGTTTTGTGTCAGCTTTGCTAGGCTGCCATTCTCAGTGGTTGGCAATTAAGAGAGAGAATCGCCTATGATGAAATCAATTATAGTGCAAACATCCCCTGATGTGATCTGATGTGATCAGCTCTGGTCTGATGTAATTGCCCCATGTGTTGTAAATCTTCACTTCTTAGATATTAATGAGGCAGGAATCAATCTACAGGATTAGATTGTCTCTTGAGTCAATCTCCTTTGAGAAATAAAAGCGATTAAATAGGCAGAGCTCAGAGGACCTACTATCACCAAGAAAGAAAAGCCAGGAGTGGAATGCACCCTTTGAGCCTGGGATTCCTGTACGGTGAAGCTCTTAGATCCAACAAAAGATTGATGCTAAGACACATGAAGATATCTAAGGAATGTTGGCCCTATGAATGCTGAAAGGTGACAAGGGCTTCTCTGCAGGAAAAAGTCTTCCTCTA